CCCCAGTGAGGGGCTGGGGTGTGGCTCAGTGGTAGAGCCCCTGCCTAGAATCCCCCAGTGAGGGGCTGGGGTGTGGCTCAGTGGTAGAGCCCCTGCCTAGAATCCCCCAGTGAGGGGCTGGGGTGTGGGTAGTAGTAAAGCACCTGCATAGAGGCCTTGAGTGAGGGAGTTGTATGTGAAAGCTGGAACAAGGTTCATGGGAAGCAAGGGTCCAGCAGGAGGCGCTGGTTTCCCCTCAGCAGAATACTTGCCTGTCTGTATCCACCAATGCCCAGAGGTTCCAGTGGGACGTTTATGTTGAGGAGGGGAGCAAACAGTGGTTTGGCTGAGAAGGCTCATGCTGGCACCTTGAGCCACAATGATAGCCAGGCCAAGACAGCTCATGAGCCACCCAGACTGTGTAAGTCAGACATTAGAAGGCCAGGGATGTACTCAGGACTTCGAACATTCACTTAGCATATGGGAGACCCATGACTCAATTCTCAGCACTACCAAGGGGAAAAACAGAACAAATCAGAAGGGAATATATTTAGTATCACATGGCACTTAAGGTACAAAGGCCTGCAGTTCTTCCTGGTTGTAGCCCCTAGATCTGGGGGAGGGTCTCTGGAAAGCTGGAACTCAGGAGTTCCAGGGAGGGAAATCATCAACTGTGGCCACCAGGCGGCACCCAAGGACCATGGTGGGCTGTGGTGGTGGATGCCTGGACAGGACCTCTAAGTCCCCTAAACTCAACATCTGAGCAACCTCCAGCATCCAGTATGGGGTGCCTCTTGGTCCTGGGGTTCTTCCTAGGGATTTACCAAGTGTCTTCACATATGTAGTTGGACAGAAAGCAGGACTGGTTAGTTTTTATACATTTCCCCCTTTTCTTATTTTACTATTTTAATTTTATGAGTGTTTTGCCTGCCTGTATGTCTTTGCATCACATGCATGCAGTACCAGCAGAGGCCAGAAGAGGGCGTCGGGCCAGTTCTAAGCCACCATAGGGATGCTGGGATTCGAACCCCAGATCCTCAGGAAGACCAGCCAGTGCACTTAACCACTGACGCCCTCTCTCCAAGTCTTACTTATTTTTCAAGACGTGGACTTGTATTTATCCAAGGGTGTTCATGTGATGCTCGTTTGAACCCGGGACTTGGTTCATGCTTGGTAAGTACTCCTACTGACTGAGCCACGTTGTCAGTTCTTTCGTGTGCATGGGTGTCTGCGTGTGATGGAAATACACGTGGACCACCTCAGAAAGACAACTGTCTTAGAGGGGACAGAAGGTAGACAGGATGAATAGGCCAGAGCACATGATGAATGACGCCATCTTAACGAAACTAATTACTGTGTACAATGGAAATACACCAATAAATTGTCGAAAGACCAGTGAGATGACACAGCTGGTTAAGGAACTCATTGATAAGCCTAATGACCTAACTTGTATGTGTGCACCACGACACATAAAGACAATATTTTTAACCTTTTTTTAAAAAAATTATGTATATAGGCGTTTGCCTGTATGTGCACCATTCATGCCTGGTGTCTGTAGAGGCCAGAAGACAGTGTTCTATCCCCTAGGACTGGAGACAGTTGCTGGCAGCCATGTGGATGCTGGGAATTGAACCTGGGTCCTTCCTCTGCAAGACCAGCCAGTGCTCTTGACCATGGAACCATCTCTCCAGCCCCAACTTAAAAAATAAAATCCCAAGCATCAAAAGGAAAAAAATATATTTGTTTTATTTTGTTTTGTTTTTTATTTTTGGTGGGGGGGAGAGGTCAAGGCTGGGATCAGGTGAGCAGGTGGCCCTAGGAGAATGTGCCACAGGCTAGCCAATGGGTCTGATAAACTGCTGTGTCTGCCCAGGGCCTTCTGGTCCCTCCTGAGACCTCAGGCCCAGAATACAGAGAGAGCAGGCTGAAGCCACCCAGAGGGGTCTGACTTCTGCCGTCAGAGGTCTGGCTGCAGGGAGAGACAGAAGGCTCAGTGCCTTTGCTCACTGTCCTTCCCACCCTTCTCCTAACCAGGCCCCTCCAAACCCCACCCTGGGTGCCTTTGTCTGTGTTGTGCCAAGCTGGAGCACCCACACAGACACATGCTGACTTGTGCTCATACGCTGTGGTTTTGGCCTTCCGGCTCCAGCAGTGAGGCACTTCTTCCAGGAAGTCAGCCCTGCTGACCGACCCCAGAGGGGTGGGAAGTTCAGAGAGGGAAGTTGAAAACTTCAACCCTACCCTGCCACCCTCTCCCAGCTCAGCTCAGCTCGTCCTGACCACGGTAACCTAGCACTCAGCCTGAGAGAGGAAGCTGCGGACCTCCCTGCCTCTGCACCCTCCCTGACACCCTACAGCTTGTATTTGCAGTTTTACTTTTATTGGGGGCTGAGGAGAGGAGGAGCATCATTCTGTAGGTGGCCTAGGCTGCCCTTGAACTCTTGGCAAGCCTCCTGCCTCTGCCTCCCAATCGCTGTGACTTACAGACATGAGACATCAGGGTACCTGGCAGCTTATAAACTTTTGAAAGCCTCACAGTGATGGGTGGTTTGGGACAGGACACCTGACTAACTGACCAGAGAGGAGGGCTCCTTGCTTAGACCCTCATCGAAGCGGACAGGCAGCCAATCATTGATGTCGCACGCCTTTAATCCCAGCACTTGGGAGGCAGAAGCAGGAGGATCGCTGAGTTCAAGACCAGCCAGGTCTAGAGTTCCAGGACAGCCAGGGCTACACAGAGAAACCCTGCCTAGAAATAAAAAAAAATTAATCAGCCTGCCTCCCTTGTCAAGAGACAATCTTCCGGCCCGCTGTACCTGGGAGTAGCTGAAGTCACTGCCTGTGCCCTTCCTGGGCCCTTTCCACTTGGGCTCCGTTTCTCAAATGATTTTTTTGATCTCACTTGGTAACCCATGCTGGCCCTGATCTCACGATCCTCACAATCCTCCTGCCTCAGGAGCCTTGTGAATACTAGGTTAGAGATCTCTGCCACCTCAATGGGTTCCCCTCCAGGCTCAGGACCACCATGAGGTGCTCTGGCTCCAATCCCAACGGGAACCCCACTCTGGCTGGGGCCCCGACTCCGTGAGGTCAGTGCAGCTGTACCTCAGCTCTATGAAGAGGCTGATGCCAGCTCCGAGCTTTGTGGCGACCAGAGCAGAGGGTAGCAGGCCTCTGACTCATCCAGGCAGGAAGGAGGCCCACGGCCTATGTGCAGACTGTTCCATCATGACCTTTCTACCCCCTAACAAATGTCAGCTTCCTCATCCAGAAGTCGGGCCCTGAGCCACCACCACCAGGCCCTGTATGCTGAAGACAATGGCCACCACAGAGGATCCCCTACTCTGAAAATCCCAGGCAGCTGCCCCAGGCCTTAAAAAGCCAAACTGAAAAGCCTGGTCAGTCGCATCACAAGGCAAGAGTGGTTACCAGCAAGGGCCACGCCCAGTCTACTTGGGGTGCTGAACCCACTGCGAGCAATGTCCAGCAGAGTAAGGAGGGGCATCTCTCTCATCAAATGGTCTGTGAAGGAGGCAAAGGACACAGGGGTGACAGGTAATGAGGACACAGAGCCCCAGGCGAGTCCAGAGTCAGGTCAGTGTAGGCAGGCACCTACAGAGGGGCAGCGGGTGGGCAGTGCTAGCCTGCCAGCTCCGAGCTTTGCTGTAAAGGAGACAAGGAGACCGACCACAGGAAGGGGGTGTGGTAGGGATCCCCCTGATCAGCCACCCTCCGTGGCTTCATCTGAGGAAGGTCCCTGAAGCACCTCATAAAGATCTGAGTCCTCGCCAGCTCCATCCACGAGTGAGCAGCCTGGGTACTGCCCATCCTCAGGACACTGCTAAACTTCTCATGACAGATGAGAGGTCAGGTCAGCAGAGTTGATGGGGAACCAAGTTCTAGGGGGTCATCCATCTCAGCAGCCTGGCTGCCTGACTTAGGTCATCCTGATTTAGCCTGCTTTGAGGCTGTCTCAGTTTTCCTGTCTGCAAAATGGGTCTCTGGCCAGCCCCCAGTAGCCACTGTTCCTCCTCCAAGAAGGTCTAGACTCCTTATCTATCACAAGTGAAGCTGACACAAAGCATGACCTGATCAAGCAGCCACCTCCATCAGCCCTGTCCAACCCCCACTTCCCAACATGGTACCAACCTATCAGAGACAAATCTACACCGAGCTGGCCATACTTCATCTATTTTAACACTAAGTCTCCCTCCCAAGTAGTAAGCTAGTTGGATTCCTACCAATTACCTTCTTCTCCATGTCATGACCCGGTCTCCCCTGCTTCATCTCAAAGTCCCCTGGAATTACCTTGATGGACAGGAGGCTTAGCCCCAACTCCCAAGGAAGACTAGAGCCCCTTGGGTTGCTGCAAAGAGCACCTTTATTCAGAGGAAGGACGTCACCATGGTAACAACACATCAATTCCCTGAGAGCTTTTCCCTTATCGTTAGCTTGCCTAGCTAAGGTCTTTGCAAAAAGAACACAGAATACAGCCCATGGGGTAGGGAGTGGGGTGGGGGTGGGATGAGGTGAGCCTTGGGGTGTTGGAGA